TGAAAAAATGATATGTGTATTACACTGTGTATCATTTGTGTATCACATATGTATCATATTTGTATCTATTATGTATCACATGTATATCCATGTATACCTGTGTGATACATGTTTGATACATGTGTCACAGAAGACTTTTTTGAACTCGATTTAATTATAAATTTTGATACAAAACCAGTCCAAATCACCTACAATCTTCCTCAAATTTTGTATATTGACTTATCTACATATTTTCAATGAATTTCAACTATACCCATTGAAAAAGTTCCTTTTTTGTTTAGATTTTTGGAATATTGCATCTATTTTTTGTATTTCATCATCTTATTTGCTACCTCATCCATAAAATTTCCTTTCCGTTTTGTATCTAGTGTTGCTAATCACGCTTAAAAATATGGAAGGTGATTTTTGCATGTGATTCTTTGAGAGAAGAACCCTATTATTTGGTTTTTCAATTTTTGTTGCCTAGTTTTGGTAAGTCTATGATTAATGACTAGAGGTTGGTAGGTTGAGATTTATTTGGGACATTTGTGTAAGTTTCCCAACAAAGAATGCGGGCTCTATATCATTAGTAACCCAAGATTATGAGTAAGCCCATCATACAAAGGAACCACTTTTCTCTAGTACTACTATATAAAAGCACAAGTTCGTAATAAATGACGAAATTAGTCTTAGTGAAATTTAACAGTACATCGCATATTTTCATACGAGGTACCTTAATTTTTTTCTTTCTTTTCAAAAATTCAAATTTTAGCTATAGGTAAGTGGGATACAAGAAAGACCATAGAAGTCAGATTCACAATGAATATCCACTTAGGAATACTATATATATTTAAAGCATCTTGTAGCATATATTACATAGATATTTTTGTATTTATAATATACACAAGTCAAATTAATATTTCACACCATATCAATCAAATTGTGTCGCAAAAAAGGCAACACATTTTACCCCAATAACAATGTAAGATTCATTCTGTTAAGAAAATAAATTTTGGATCTAATTTCAACTTAAAGCCTAATTTATGACATAAGATTGTCAAAGTAATTGTAACAGCCAGCCCGCTAGTAATATTGTCCGCTATGGGCGTAGGCCCTTACAGATTTAAAACGCGTTGCTAGGGTCTAAGGCTTGTCAGAGGCAGCTTAACCCCCAGGCCACTAAAGCGGCCCCTTTAGGCCTCACAAAATTAAAGGCCTCAAAAGCTATTCTTTTTATATGTAATTAGAATATTTATTATATTATTATTAATTAGTGATAAGAAATTTTTTAACATCATTTGCTACTTTGTCACCAATCGTTAATAATATATTTTATATTTTGTATTTTTTTTTTTTTGGAGTTGGTTTAAAAAATTCAAATAAAAGTGAAAGACAATTAAATCTGCAATTACTTTCTAGTTCTTCTTACTCCAACTTGAATAAATTTTATTTATAGCAATAACTTTGTAAGATTTTGTTTCAAGATCCCTGTAGGTACGCTTCAAGCTAATTAATTAGATCATAAAAAGTGAGTAACATCTTTGTAAATACAAATTTTCAAATGATTGTTACTTTAGGAGGCAATGCTATACAGTGAATTATGTTGACGGTCATGTGAAAAGAAAAAATTCACTATTAAACTTAATAAAATCTTATCAAAGATTAGTAGTGTCTCAACAAAGATTAAAGAGGTTAGTTACATCATCAAGATGAAATTACATTTCAAAAAGTAAAAGGAATAAACTTCAGCAAAAATATCTAAAATTATTAAACAAGTTTAAGGCCTTATATTACGGCTTGGCTTTTGTTACGCCCCGCAGTATTACGTCGATGTTACGCCCCGCGGTATTATGTTGATGCTACGCTCCGCAGTATTATATTACGATGATGTTATACCCTATAGTATTGTTCGTTGAATTTGTCATAAGATAATTGACATCAGTCCAATGACAAGATTATTTAGAGATTATAAGTATTATGCTATTTCAAACAAGTGATAAGTAATACATGAAAGTGAGAGGGTAAGCAAATCGAAAAAAATGTGTTTGGTCGAAGTTTGACAATTTGGGATAAAATACGGTCCGAGCTATAATACCCAATATTTATGGACTAATACCATACAAGTACCACATGACCATGATAGTAAGATGTATAAAGTGTGTTAAAAGTAAGTAGTATTTTAAGTAAGTTGAGATAATTCTTAATTATGTAGATATTTAGTTAATTGTGGATTTTTGGTGGAAGATTAACAATGTAATTAAGTGAGAATCTTGGATAATTACTAGGGGACAACAATCCACGTGGGATCATAAAAATATGGCACCAAATAGCCAACTAATCTTATACTTAAGGAGGTCGTGGCACCATTTAAGGATATATACACCTTATCTCATTCTTGTTGAAAGAGTTATTAAGAAAATCTCTTTATCCACAAAAATGGAGATGGATTAGAATTTCAAAAACAACAACGGATGAATACTCAAACTAAGAATTCACATGAACCCTCAAGATCCTATTATGCATGAGATGCAATTCTTAAGGAAGTACGGTACAATTTTTCTCAAGAATATCATACAAATTTTCCCCTACTTCGATCCGTCGTTTCGTGTTTTGCCGCAACTGATATATGTTAGAGGGATTATCAAGAGAATCGGCCCAAGTATGTTAAAGCTATCCCTTCTTTCTTTTTGGCATGATCCATACGATACAAACAAAACGAGCAAATGCACAACTTTCATAAATGACTCTATTAATAGAATTACTAGAGATTCCTATATTCTTGATTCCTCGTATCTCATTATCTATCGTCTGTTCATGGAACTCAGAAAATACGTAAGCCGATAAAGTTTATTTCATGATATTAATCAGAGGCATAATGGTCTTATGACGTTCCGAGAGATTTTATTGACGTACTTCTCATGCATTGCATTCATTTATACATGTACATTGACCCATGACCAAACGACATTATATACGCGTATATATATATATATGTATGTATGTATGTATGTATATAGGATATGAGAAAAGGTTACGGTGTTCTAAATGCGCCACCACCTGATCAGCTGGTATACGTTGATGATTTTGCCCACAGTGGCCGAGATTATATGATGGGATGCCCTCAGAGGCTTGATGAATTTATGAACATATATACCTATGCATGGCATGGTATTTATAAGCATATGCATGGCATTATAAATATTAATGATTCACAGAGTTATTCAGACTTACATGTTGAGTCTTTTATTCCATGTTTTTTCCATGTCTATTATTTACTGATTTTCATTCCTTACATACTCGGTACATTATTTGTACTAACGTCCCTTTTACCTGGGAATGTTGCATTTCATGCCCTTAGGTCCCGATAGACAGGTTGAGAGCCCTCCAAGTAAGCTATCAGCTCGGCGGAAGGTGTTGGTGCATTTTATTTGCTCAAGAGTTGCCTATTTGGTCATGATACGTTAGACACGTATTGATTGGTATGTCGGAGCCCTGTCCCGGTCTTATGATGTTTATGTAGTCTTAGAGGCTTGTAGACATATGTCATGTATATGAAATATTGTATGACTTTGTCGGCCTATGTTTAGTGCACGAGTGATCATTTTGGCCTTATAGGCTCGTATGTCATATGTATAAGTTTGTATTACATCTTGGATCGTCCTATGTTGAGTGTTCCCTCATGTTTTATTCTAGTTATCTCACAGAAACCTTTTCTTTTCATTTACCTATGATAGTATGATACAAAAGATACGTTACATTGGTACTCGGTTGAGTAAGGTATCGGGTGTCCGTCGCGGCCCATCAGTTTGAGTCGTGACAAAAGTGGTATCAAAGCAGTTCTGTCCTAGAAAATCTACAAGCCGTGTCTAGTAGAGTCTTATTTATGGGTGTATTGTGCACCACACTTATAAGCAGGAGGCTATAGGGCATTTAGGACTGTCACTCTTTCTTCTTACTCTAGATCGTATAGTAGAGCTCAGTTGTAAGAACTCAAGTTCCTAAACTCTATCCTATTCATAATACACGATGCCTATGTCTTGAAAGACGGCTGGTAACGGATTAAATGTGGTAGTGGAAGAGTTGAGTCAGAGGAACTCGATTTTGAGTCATGCTTATGATGAGTAAATGTATAGTCTCCAGCAGATTATATGTATACTAAGATGTATAAGCTTCTTGATAAGGAGTCTTAAGACATGAATATCTATCTGCCCTTATGGTAAAAAGCAATGAGAAAATCAGAAGGTAAATACAAGTTTCAATAAGTAAAAGAAGCAAGGTGAAGTAGGGTCTGAGGCGCCCAACTAATGAAGATTATCAGTAGTTACAATTCAAGCAAAGAAATATAAGCCTTCTGAGTTACCTTCAACAGTAATAGATGTATGTACAATCGGCCACTGTAGACATGTAATTTTTGATCATCCGCGAAATTTTACACATCTTAGTGCTTATATATTTCTTTTTGGTCTAATTTGCTATTTTTACTAGTTTGGTCTCTTTTGCTCTATCTTATCTTAAAACTCAAAAACTACAAAAAATATTTTCCCTTATTTTAGCTAGTTGATAATTTGTATAATTAGTTTTACTCTTGAAAAAATACAAAAATAGCCTTGACATTTTATTTTCTAAAAGATAAGAAGAAAATTTCAAAAAATATATATAATTACTTAGTTTAGTTTTAAAGTTGTAGGATTTTAATAAGTATTGAATAGTATTAAATTTTCTGTAATTTGGATATTTTGTTTTAGTTTTAGTTATTTTCTATTGTTTAGATAATTAGTATTTTTGGTTTAACTTTAGGAAAAAGGGAAAGAAAGAAAAAAAAACAAAAGCAAAAAGAAGAAGAAACGAAAATAAAAAGTTGGAAATGTAAAAGTAAGAAAGAAATTTAAGTGGTCCCCTTCCCCTTAATTTTTACACCAAGCCTTCTCCATAACTATGTTTATTCCCTCTTATCCAAATTTACCATTCAGCTACGTAAACACATACACATACACACACAGAATACAAAGGGAAGACAAAAACAGAGGGGAGGGGGGAAACGAAAAAACAGTAGAGAAAATAGGGTGAAGGGAAAGAATAGATTTAAAAAAGGAACGAAAAACTTCATGAAAGCTGAGAAAAAAAGAAACCCAGCAAGCTGTTTCTTCCTCCTAATTTCATCACCCAAAAACTTCATCTTCCCCATATATAGCTCCATTCAAGATCAACCACAAACAGCCATAAAACCTCCATTAAAATCATTATGAAAGCTGTAAAACCAGCTCCAAAAACGTAAAAATAATAGCTCGAATCGCTGCCATTTTCACCAAGGAAACAACCCCCCTAGAATCCTCCATTAATCTCGTCGAAGTTCTGCGCTCGAGGTCGTCTGTCGAGTTTGTCAACTATAGCTTTGGCCTGGAGTCTTTTCTGTTCATTGTTTCAAAAACACAGTACAACTATAAAGGTTCAATTCTAAACTTTACTTGCTCATTGATTTCCACACCTATTCCTCTTGATATTATGAATGGACTCTTTGTTTGTTTGTTCCTTACTTTTTGTTCTGAATTGAAATTGTCCCTGTTTGATTAATTCATCCTTGAGTTACGTATTTCTTTTGTTAAAAGTAGAATTTAAGTTGTTTAACTTGGTCAATCGTTTAGGAAAGGTTCATAAAGCTCAATTTGATCAAGGCTGTGTACTGTTGGGTGGAATCTAGTTACAAAAAGTGATTGGATGATTATTTCGTTAATTAAGTTTAATCAAAAAGGTTGTGGGATTGGAAATTGAAAGAAATCAGAATTGAGTTTAATTGCTCGTGATTGCTGGATTTCCATAATTTGATATTGAATTGTTCTTTTGGTGATGCTACTGGATTGAGAATGTAGTTGTATAGATTTTAAATTTGTTTTATTGAAAAAAAACTGAATTTGATCTAAATAGCAGATTGGAAATGTTTTTTTAATAGTTATATGAGCTTTGGATTATTTTTATACTTTACTTTTGCTTTATATTTTAATCTCTAGGAGTATGTTTAAGCTAACCACGTGTGGGTAGGCAAATTTTTAAGTGCGTAAATAAATCATCGTGACTATAGGTACGGTTCCCGTGGCATGGTCACGATACGTAAATCTCAATTTGGGTGTGCATTTCATGTGACCCGATCATAATTTCGAATAATAATAAAATTAAACATGTTATAGATCGTGAGTACGGTTCTCGTGACGCGATTCGCAATGTGTACCAAACAAACGAGTATGCGATATTGCGACTTGTTCCAACCAATTTCATAAATAATTAAAAGCGATTTAAAAGGTTAAAATGCACAATAGTTTTAAAGCTTGTGTTAAATCAAATAATTAGGCCAACTATTAATAGTTGAGCGACCGTGCTAAAATCATGGAATCCGGGAATGCCTAACACCTTCTCTCTGGTTAACAGAATTCCTTACCCAGATTTCTGTATTTCGCGGACAGTAAAACGGAGTCAAACTTCCTCAATTCGGGATTTTAAATCGGTGACTTGGGATACCATAAATTATCCCAAGTGGTGACTGTGAATTTGAATATAAATAATCCTATTTCGTTCAACGTCACTTTAATTGGAAAAACTTTCTATCCCTTCCAGAAAAAAGGAAGTGTGACAGCTCTGACGACTCTGTTGGAGATCAGAACCCAGAACTTCTGGTTCAGGGTTCAAGAATTCGAGCTTAGAATAACTGTTATGCTTGGCTTTCATTTATTATCTGATTTTTTACGTGTTTGAGCCTAATGTGCTAATTATCGCTTTTTACCGCTTTGATATTTTGTGAATTGTATATAAACTGTTACGAAACCCTTCTTCTCTCTAAGTCTTCTAAATCTTCTGGGAAGTGCACGCTGGCGTGATTTCTTTTTTGTTAGTGTCATACTCTTAATTTAGAATGAGGTTCGAACAAGTTGCAAAGCCGGATGATCTTTTGGTTACCGGTACGCTGCCCCCCCTCCCGGCTCGAGTTGTCCGCTCGGGTAAGCCAGGTCTAGAACAATACATCCAGATTTTATACCTATAATAACATAGCCTCATGACGGATCCCTAGTAGGAACGCTTGTTTGCATCACGTGCATTTGACTTCGGGGACTCAACACAGGGGGTTGGGTCCGTCTAGGACAGGTATAACCAAAATAAAAGACCATCCTGATGCATCTTATGTGCTATTTGCGTATCTGTCTGTTTCAACTTGCATGTTGACTGACTTCTAGAATAGGGAAAGAAAAAAAAGGAAAAAAAAAAGGAAAAAGAAAAGAGAGTGAGAGGTAGGTATTTGAATTATCCTGAAACTCTGCCGAAATTTTGAAAAAAAAAAAGAAGAGGAAAAGTCATTTCAAAATAAGTCATATTTTCCTGTTGCATCAAGACTGGCTGAACTATGCGGGTCTGATTCTCACCGGATGTGTGATACGTAGGCAAACCTCATCGGTTCCGGCCCCCAATTTTTAAAAATCCAAAAATATTTTCCTTTACTTCCTTCTTTAGAAAAGTCTTCTTTTGAGACCCCAATCATTAAAAAAAATCCAAATATTTTATTTAGTTTCCTCTAACATTTCAAAAATATTTTCGAAAATTGAATAGAAAATTCAAGATTCAAAAAAAAAAAAATTCTTCGGAAGTCTTTCTTTCATGATTTTAACATAAAAGTCCAAAAATCCGAAAATATTTTCTTTATTATTTAGAAGTTTTTCTTTCGAAATGCCAAAAGAAAAAAAGAGAAAAATTCGAAATTCAAAAAAAAATCTTTCTTCTTTATAACTTTTTCTTTCGGAAATTAAAAAATTATAAAAAATCAAATAAAAGAGTTAGTTTATTTACTTTATTCTCGTTCTTCCCAAACTACGCAAAGATTTGATTCATGCGGCGTCATTATACGTAGGCAACCTACATAGGGTCCGATCGAATCATTTTTTTAAATAAAAAAAGAAAAAAAAAAAAGATGAAGTTATGAGATGTGAGAAATGAGAGGAAAGAAAAGAGTGATAATCAGAAAGAAAAAGAGAGGAAGGAAAATGAGTAAGCCAAGAAGTGCTAGAAAAGAAAAGAAAAGAGAAGATTGAAAAGAACAAATTGGGCTAATGCCAAGTGACCTTGTGACCCTCGAAGTCATTCTTGAACCGTTAATTGTTGCTAGGTGCATTGCATGCAATGTGATATTTTAGTTGTTAAATGCCCTAACGCTAACATGATGACTTCATTTTATTCCTCTTCGTTATCTTCATTATTGCAGAAGAGTGGTTAGTTTGTGGTTCTTAAACTGGTAACTCTTCCATACAACACAATGTCAAAGAGCAAGACAGTCATGGCTAGCAAAGACTTGGACACATGTGTTATTGATCCGTCTAAGGAGATTGTTAAATGAGAATCTGAGTTGAAAGAAGAGGTTTTAAGGTTAAAAGGGTAGATGACCGAAATATACCAAGCCTGGATTAGTGGGCGTCCTCCACCATTAGTTCTCGCTAACTATACTGAAAGCCTCGTTACCATTCTGCCACTGTCACAAATCCAACTTCCTACTGCTGCTGATATCTCCCCACAACCTTTTCACACTCCACCCGCCAAAACCACCTCATATCCCGCTCCTTTGACCACTCATGTTTTTGTAGCTCATCCACCAGCTACCTTTCCTCGATCCTCTAGCGAGACTGTGTTCAAAGTCCCCAATGCCCAATACTATGCTCCAGAACCAACTTCCATGGTCTTAGATCCATACTCTTACACTCCTCGTTTTGAGCCTTCCGGTGAAACTAAAAAGCCTGCTAAGACAGTGGAGCAAGATGAGATATCCAAGAAGGTAAAAATCTTAGAGCAGTCTTTAAGAAACGTGTAAGGGATATGGAGCAAGGTGAGCGTGTCTTACAAAGCTTGTTTCCTGACGTTCAATTGCCTGTTGGGTTTAAGATGCCAAAGTTTGATTTGTATGGCGAACATGGCGATCCCGTGGCCCATTTGAGAGGTTATTGCAGTAAAATGAGAGGCGCTGGCGGGAAGGACGAGCTATTGATGGCCTATTTCAGTCAAAGTTTGAGCGGTGCAGCCTTGGAATGGTACACCCGTCAAGATGCTAGCAAGTGGTATACATGGGACGATATGGCTCAATCCTTTGCCCGGCACTTTCAGTACAATATAGGAATTGTCCCGGATCGCATGTCCCTCACCAGGGTGGAAAAGAAGCCTAATGAAAGATTTAGGAAATACGGGCTCAGATGGAGAGAGAAAGTTGCCCGAGTCAATCCCCCGATGGAAGAAGACGAGATGGTCGAGTACTTTCTTCAAGCCCAATAGCCTACTTACTTTGGGAATTTAATCTCGGTTGTGGGTAAGCCTTTTAATGATGTGGTAAAAATGGGAGAAATGGTAGAAGATGGGCTGAAGTCGAGTAAGATCATGAGCTATTCTGCTTTAAAAGCCATAACACAAGCAATTCAGAATGACACGGGAAGCTTGCTGGGTCAGAGGGAACATGATGATATTGCCATAGTTGTCTCAGGATCACGACATGGCCCAACAGGTCCGCCTCACCAATATACCTATCCTCTACCCCAACCCCAAACCTATCCCTGAGCTCCACATAATCCACCTCAATATTATCCTGCAAACAACGTTCGTTCATCTATCCAACCACTGGTTCACTCTTTATGGCAAGCGCCAGTACATCATAATGCACTTTTGCCTTCACAACATTTTAGAGCATCCAACAACCCTAGAAAGTTGGGGCATGGGGGGAACAAAGGCAAAGAAAGTTTCACGCCAATCCGAGAACCTACACAAGTTTGTTTGAAAATTTAAAACATTCTAGCCTGATTGAGCCGCTCCTCGGCTATACTCCGAACCCATATGCAAAAGGTTTTGATCCTACTATATGGTGCATGTACCACTCTAATGTCCAAGGGCATAACATTGAAGATTGTCGTGATTTGAAAAGGGAAATAGAAAGAATGATTCAAGAAGGGATAATTGTGATCCAGGACAGTGACACCCAGAATATCGCACAAAATTCTTTACCTGCACATAATAATGCACACTTTGTGGGGATGATGCATGGTGACAGGGAGTATGAGAATCCTCTTGGGAACTTGCTAACTAAAGTTAATGATATTGAAATTGGTAATGGTCTGGGTAATATTGATGTGAAACTCAGTGGTTAAGATGTCGAGCTTGGTAATTGGAAAGACGCTCCTTTCTTGGTTAGCCAAGGGGAGTCTTGGTAGTTTATTTTGTTGTCATTTCTGTTGTACGGGTTATTTTAGGGCTGTAATCCGGATATTGTCTTGTGACTCAAACCCTTCTATACTTTTATTTTGCCTAGTTTGTTTAGTCGTAATAGGTCGTTTAGTGTTGTCTAATTTTGTTCCAGGGTTGTAACCCCAGTTTAATTTACTTGTTTTGTTGTTCAAACCCTTTCACCATCTGTCTAATGCAATTTTCTATTTTCTGTTATTTCTAGTCAGTTTTTATTTAGTTCTTTTTTCCTTTTATGGTTCTTTTTATACTAGCTCTAGTGACATGACGTGCACGCATAATTCTAGGTCTAGTCTTAAAAGTTAGTCTAATTATGAAGATGATAGGGACATTTGAGGAAAATAAGTATAGATTTCGACACTCTGAGATCATTTAAAGCCCGAACTGTGTGAAACTAGGAAAATAGCCTGGGAAGTTAATAGGATGACAAGAATTTGTTGCAAAAGAATGCATCATAGACAATTTGAAGCGAGTCACTTTGAATTCGAGTGCATCTCAAGTAACAAGATAAAACCAAGGGATTTTCCTCCAAACAGACGGAGGGTATCCATTGTGAAGAAGAAATCACCCAACGAGAGTTATGTACTTGACAATGCACTAAAAAATGTGGAAGGCATATTAGTGATATCAATGCCTAAGCTGTAAAAGAAATGTTGTAATTGGCATTTTCAGGGATTGGAAGGCTCTCTTTCAGCTACCCAAACACTTTATACCATTTGGTACCCCTTTTGAGCCTATGCTAATTTTCTTGACCTCCCTTCTTTTGGAATCGAGTTAGAGTCATTACAAAAAAAGAAAAAAAAAATCATGCCTCATAAGGTTTGTTTTAGAAACTTCATTAAAAAAAAAATTCAAAAACAAAAAGAAAAGGAAAGGAAAATAGCAGTAATAAAGAGTAGTCTTTTGAACTACGTTCGACCTGATTCTTGTCACCACAAGATACGTAGGCAGCCTTACGGTTCGATCGCACCAAATAAAATATTTCATAATCCCACGAAATCAAGAGTGGGGCAGTTTTTCTTAGTAATTCCATCTAAAAAAAAGAGAGAAAAAGAAGAAGAAAAGAATCAAATTTTCTTGTTCTGAAATTGGGGCAAAGTTTTTAATGGATTCAAAAGTTGTAAATACATTAACCCTTTTGTCTTAGTTTTATTTTGAGCCTTCATGCCTTTCTTTCTTTATAACCTTGTCCAAAAGCCACATTACAATCCAAAAAAGACCTCCCAGATAATCTTTGAAAGTGCCGAGCTAAACATGCTAGGAGCATATGATGTTTTTTACCATGGTCAATGCCTTGTCATCTGCAGAATCAGAGAAAATAAGAAGAAAAGAAAAAGATGAGAGAGTCTTATCGGTAAAAACCTTCACAGGCACCATAACGTGAAAGTGAGTTGAGAGAAAGAAAAAATGAGAGAGTCTTAATGGTGAAAACCGTTTGGGCACTACAAGTCGAATAAGGATTGTGAATCATATAGGATAATCGGAGCATTGAAACCCAGTTTCATGGTTTAGAGGCATAACAAGAGTTGAACATTAGACTTGCTTGATAGATTAAGCCACTTAATCCAAAACGCACGTCATGGTCATTGGAGTTGGTGTCCACATTTGATAAGTTTTCTTTTTGGTAATTTTCTTGTTAGATGTCATCTCTTTCCATTGTCCCCTTACTCTGTTCCTCTTGCTTTGTTCAAGTCCTCCTTTTGAGTCCGTTTGGTTAGAATAAGTGAGAAATGACTTCAAAATTTGCTACCAACTTTTCAATTACACAAAGCGGAGTATGGCTAACACATCAAAGCGGCATAAGTCATGAAAGAACAGTATGCGTACTGAGTTGGTAATAGCAACGTGCTTTAGGATTCATATGAAATGCAAAGGTTCGGTAAATAGCAATCCATGAGCAAAGTGCAACAGATATAGGATATTGGGCTCAAATGGATCAAAGGTATTTTATGTGATAAGGGTTGACAAAAAACGGTTAGTCAGTAACATGCAAGGTCTTCCAAGTTAAAATCAAAGTTATCATGGCAAGTGTAGAAGCAGCCGCCTTCAAGGTCAAGGCCACAAACCAATCACCATATTTTAAACTCACAAGTTTTCTTTGCTTGAAACAGGGACGAAGACTATGTCCCAATCAGAGTTTGGAAGCTTGAATTTTTCAGGTGTAATGCCCCCAATTCTGCCTACGCAAGGGCTATAGAGAAGATCACACCTTCTAGGCATTTTCCCTAGTTGAGTAGAACCATACCCCCTAGGAATTTTCCCTAGTTGAGAGGAATCTTTGGTTTTCATTAAGTTCAGGGGTCCCGTCTGGAGAATAGGGTCAATTTTTAGGTTAGTCAAGCTTAGTTTATAGTTTTCTTCAAGCTCAGTCTCACACCTAGGAGACACACTTCCTAGCCTGAGTCTTTCTTATTATACTTTCTAGGAGACGCACTTCCAAGTTTGAGTGATTGAAGTTTCACCCGTAAGAGACGCACTTCCTAGTCCGGGTTTTTGAGTTATATTTTTGTTCTAAGAGACGCACTTCCTAAATTGAAGTTTCACCTCTAGGAGACGCACTTCCTAGTATGGGTCTTTCAGGATATACTTTTAGGAGACTCACTTCCTAAATTGAGATTTCATCCCTAGGAGACGCACTTCCTAGTTTGGTTCATTCAAGTTTCATCTCTAGGAGATGCACTTCCTAGTTTGAGTCATTCGAGTTTTGCCCTAGGAGACGTACTTCCTAGTCAGGGTCTTTCAAGTTATATTTTTGTTATAGGAGACGCACTTCCTAAATTGAAGTTTCACCTCTAGGAGACGCACTTCCTAGTTTGGTTCATTCAAGTTTCATCTCTAGGAGATGCACTTCCTAGTTTGAGTCATTCGAGTTTTGCCCTAGGAGACGTACTTCCTAGTCAGGGTCTTTCAAGTTATATTTTTGTTATAGGAGACGCACTTCCTAAATTGAGATTTTACCCCTAGGAGACGCATTTCCTAATTTGGGTCATTTAAGTCCATTCTTAGAGACACACTTCCGAGTTTGAGTCATTGAAGTTTTGCCCCTAGGAGACGCACTTCCTAGTCTGGGTATTTTAGGTTATATTTTTGTTTTATGAGACGCACTTCCTACATTGATATTTTACCCCTAGGAGACTCACTTCCTAGTTTGGGTCATTCAAGTTTCACCCTAGGAGACGCATTTCCTAGTCTGGGTCTATCAGGTTATATTTTTGTTTTAGGAGACGCACTTCCTAAATGGAGATTTTACCCATAGGAGACACACTTCCTAGTTTGTGTCATTCAAAATCATTCCTAGGAGACGCACTTCCTAGTTTGAGTCGTTCGAGATTTACCCCTAGGAGATGCACTTCCTAGTCAGGGTCTTTCAAGTTATATTTTGTTTTAGGAGACACACTTCATAAATTGAGATTTTACCCCTAGGAGATGCACTTCTTAGTTTGGGTCATTTAAGTTCATTCCTAGGACCACTTCCTAGTTCGAGTCATTAAAGTTTCACCCGTAGGAGACACACGTCCTAGTCCGGGTTTTCAAGTTATATTTTTGTTTTAGGAGATGCACTTTCTAAATTGAGATTTCATCCCTAGGAGACACACTTCTTAGTTTGAGTCATTGACGTTTCACCCATAGGAGACGCACTTCATAGTCCGGGTTTTCAAGTTATATTTTTGTTTTAGAAGATGCACTTCCTAAATTGAGATTTTACCCCTATGAGACGAGCTTCCTAGTTTAGTTCATTTAAGTTCATTCTTATGAGACACACTTTCTAGTTTGAGTCATTGAAGTGTCACCCCTAGGAGACGCACTTCCTAGTCTGGGTCTTTCAGGTTATATTTTTGTTTTAGCAGGCGCACTTCCTAAATTGAGATTTTACCCCTAGGAGACGCACTTCCTAGTCTGGGTCTTTCAGGTTATATTTTTGTTTTAGCAGGCGCACTTCCTAAATTGAGATTTTACCCCTAGGAGACGCACTTCCTAGTCTGGGTCTTTCAGGTTATATTTTTGTTTTAGCAGGCGCACTTCCTAAATTGAGATTTTACCCCTAGGAGACGCACTTCCTAGTCTGGATCTTTCAGGATACACTTATAGGAGACACACTTCCTAAATTGAGATTTCACCCCTAGGAGATGCACTTCCTAGTTTGAGTCATTGAAGTTCAATTCCTAGGAGACTCACTTCCTAGTCTGGGTCTTTCAGGATATACTTTTAGGAGACGCACTTCCTAAATTGAGATTTTATCCCTAGGAGACGCATTTCCTATTTTGGGTCATTCATGTTTTATTTTTAGGAGACGTATTTGCTAGTCAAAGTTTCTTGATTTTACTCATAGGAGACGTACATCCTAGTAAAGTCTTTAGTTTACTCTCATCATTGCGTCAATAGTATAAGTGGTTTACAATTTTGATAATAACTCACAAATCTTCCGAGTGCAAACTGGGGCAGAAAATTTTATTTGTTTTATTGTTTTGATTGCAGGCATCCACCTGGAGAATGAGGGAATTCGTTTCAAAATTATTTCAAGTTTCAAGTCAGTAGTAGGCACGCACCTGGAAAACGAGGAAAGTCATTTCAGAATTCAATTCAAGTTAGAAGTAGTAGAAGCTCGCGGCAAGAATGTTAGTCGACAGTCCGAGATGACCAACAGAAGTAGCCTCAATCCAGAAAAAAAAGGTGAATCCAAAATGAAAAAGCAGAGAAAGATGTGAAATACTCAAGACATGGCTGAAGTCACGAGCACGTCGTGTCCGATTTTAAACTAAAGAAGTCGTGGAAGAGTGAATCAGCACCTGCAGCTAGCAAGCATCAAGGTTTAAATCAAAGTCTGCATGAAAAACCGTTCAAGACTCAAGATTAAGCTTCAGAAGACTTATAAATAGGAGTCTTGTAACTCATCGCTGACAGGTTTAGTTAGTCGTTTTCATTTTTGATTTGATGTAATAACAGGACCGCGGACAGGAACCTCGACGGAATCTCATTCGACTCCCTCGTCCTCTCCACACACTCCATCACTTCATCCACCTCTAAATTACACGTGGTCCGATTCCTTTATAGCCAAGGATATGTAGGTTGTCCAAAATCAGGACTCGGTCGCACACTCTTTCTTTGATTTTTGTTCTTTCAAATAAGGGTCGGGTCAAAAAACTTGTCTCGTCGTTCTTTGTGTGGAAACTCTTCGTGTTTCCAGTCAATGAAGGGCAGCTGTAGACATGTAATTTTTGACCCTCCTCGAAATTTTACACATCTTAGTGCTTATATATTTTTATTTTTGGTCTAATTTGCTATTTTTACTACTTTGGACTCTTTTGCTCTATCTTATCTTAAAACTCAAAAACTACAAAAATATTTTTCCTTATTTTAGCTAGTTAATAATTGGTATAATTAGTTTTACTCTTGAAAAAATACAAAAAATAGCCTTGACATTTTATTTTCAAAAAGATAAGAAGAAGATTTCAAAAAATATATATTTACTTAGTTTAGTTTTAAAGTTATAGGATTTCAATAAGTATTGAGAAGTATTAAATTTTCTCTAATTTGGCTATTTTGTTTTATTTTTAGTTATTTGCTATTATTTAGATAATTAGTATTTTTGGTTTAACTTTAGGAAAAAAGAAAAGAAAGAAAAAAAAAAGCAAAAAGAAGAAGAAACGAGAATAAAAATTCGAAAAGGTAAAAGTAAGAAAAAAATTTAAGTGGTCCCCTTCCCCTTAATTTTTGCTCCATATCACGCGCCCTTTCCCTCATTCTAGCTTATTCAAAGATTCTTTTTATTTAGAACCAATTGCTCTGTAACACCAAGCCTTCTCCATAACTATGTTTATTCCCTCTTATCCAAATTTACCTGGACACTCCCATTCAGCTACATAAATACACACACACAGAATACAAAGGGGAGACAAAAACAGAGGTGGGAAAACGAAAAAAACAGTAGAGAAAATAGGGGGAAGGGAAAGAATAGATCTGAAAAAGGAATGAAAAACTTCATGAAAACTGAGAAAAAAAGAAACCCACAAAGCTATCTTCTTCCTCCTAATTTCATCACCCAAAAACTTCACATTCCTCATCTATATAGCTCCATTCAAGATCAACCACAAACAGCCATAAAAGTACAGGCATAAAACCTGTATTAAAACTACCATGAAAGCTGTAAATCCAGCTCCAAAAACGTGAAAATAATAGTGTGAGTACCTAATTTTTGACAATAATTAATTTTTTATCACTTCTTCTATGTAAATATTTTAAGGGTTTTAACCTACAATTTTTAGCTTTGTTACACTTTTTATTATAGGGTAAAAATACAAAATTTTAAAAGGTGAATTATTACTATTAATATTATTTTATTTTTATTTTTATTTTTAAAATAATAAAAAAATTCCGAAAAATATTATTTTTTTTAAAATTTTCAGGAGTGATTTAAAAATTAAGAAAAAGGGAAGTATTGAATAAAAAAATAAAAGTAAAAGTAGGTGGAATTCTCTTTTAATAAGTAAAAGAAAGTAGAAAATTAAAAAAATAAAAGTAAAGTTTTGTGAAAATTTTAAAAAAATAAAAAGTAAAAGAAAGTTGGAATTAAAAAATAAATATAAAGGTATCAGAAAATACAAAAAAATTTAAAGTAAAAGAAAGTAGCATTTTTAAAAGAAAAGCAAAAGAAAGTGGATTGTTTTTTTTTTTTGAGAAAAAGTTAAATAAGTGGAATTTTCTTTTAAAAAGTAAAAAAGTGGGATTTTAAATAAGATAAAAGTAATTAAAGTTGGAATTTAAAAAATAAAAGTAAAGAAAGGTGAGATTTCTTTTTATAAAAAATAAAAGCAATTTGTAAGTGGGATTTCTTTTAATTAAAAAATAATAAAATAATAAAATATTTTTTAAAAAAAATCTGAAAAATCTCGAAAATTTTGCTATAAATAGAAGAGAAAATTTGAGAAGAAAAAAAAATGAGGGGGAAGAGAGAAATTTAGGTTGAAAATTTTCATTAAATTTTTCTTTCAACATTTTGGGCCTTGAATCTTGGGTTTGAAAAAGAGTTGATAGAGATTTTGTTGTTGCTGCTGTATTGACTCTACAACTTTCAGATTTTATTCATTTAAATTCACTCTCTTGTAGGTATGTAATTCAAGCTCTTGAGTTAAAAAATGCCGGAGCATCTTTATTGAAGCAGAAACAAATTGATTTGGTTCTTTTGATAAAGTTTTTTTCGTATTGGATCTGTTCGCATGAATGATGTTTCTTTGATTGAGTGAATTGAGATTTGTAAATGTTAACGTTATTTTAGTATGTTCATGACTCTGTCTCGTTTTTTTTTCTTTATTTTTTTATTTTTTATTTTTCTTGGCTCATGACTTGTAACCAGCATGTATTGTTTTGTTTACATTTAGATTTCAAGCCCATGTAGCACCATGTTCATATTTTGAAATTTAAAAAGTATGTGAAGTTGAACAATTTGTCAACATTAAGATATAAAAATAAAATAAAATAGATTGCGTTAGTGGAAAAATCTTATCTTCAATTTATGTTATTGGCTGCATATTTTCTTAAATTAACCATGTGAAGATTCAACTTCCTCTGCTTCAAAATGGTACTGTAGAAGTTATAGTGGTGATACTACAACTTTCTCTTTAGCATAGTGTTAAATAAATTAATTACTTTAAGTGTTCTTTGTTATAATCAAGTTTAAAATGCATTTTTGTATGTCCATGTTTGTTTTGTTCCTTCTGGTTCATCCGAATAGTTCTTAACATGGTTTTTTTTGTGCTCATATAGTCATTTAAGATTCATTATTTTGTTATAAAATTTGGTTAGTTTCGTTTTAGAATTTGAAAACGAAAATCGGTCTTTTGAAGATGATATGGAGATGAACCCAAAGCGGGCACCCGTCTTTTGTTATTTTCACATAAATGTCAATTCCACCTTTCTGAATTGTAGTATGCTATAACAAAAGGCTCCAGTGATATACATGTAGCTAACCCATTTCTTTAGGCCTTTTGTACTTATCAATTTATACTACTCCATCCACAATAAAACCTCAAAACTCATGGCCCTCATTTAATTAATTTTAAATCCTTAGAATTAGAGGCATGCCATTTAGTGAATTTTCTATGGCCCTCGCAAAGTTGAAAAATGCGTAGTTGCTTTAGGCGCGTAATTTAAAATTACCTTCCTAAACTCGGGTGTGCATTTCATGTGACCCAAATCCAAATTCCAACAACGTTAAATAAAATGTGTCGTGGACCGTGGATGTATTTATGTGACGTGGTTCAAGACATATTTTAAATGACGTTGCAATCTTCCTAAAAATGAATAAGAGCGGTTAATAAGTTAAAATTGAACCATAGGCTAAAATATGTATTAAAATCAGATAATATGCCAATTATAATAGTTGAGCGACCGTGCTAGAACCACGGAACCCGGGAATACCTAACACCTTCTCTCGGGTTAATAGAATTCCTTACCCAGATTTTTATGTTCGCGGACTGTAAAACAGAGTCAATCTTTTTCTCGATTCGGGATTTGAACCAGTGACTTGGGACACCATAAATTATCCCAAGTGGCGACTCTAAATTTTTAATAATAAATGAATCTCATTTCGATTGTCACTTTAAGTTGGAAAAAACTCTCTTATACCCTTT